AGGAAGGAAGGAAGGAAGGAAGGGGAAAAGGGGAAGGGAAGGGAGAAGAAAGTCAGGGATGAAGCGAGGAAGGAAGGAAGGAAGGAAGGAAGAGGAAAAGGGGAAGGGGAGAAGAAAGGAATGGAGGAAAAGAGGAAAAGAAAAAGGGGAAGAAGAAAAGAAAGGAGAAAGAAGAAAAGAGGAAGGAAAGGGGAAGAGAAAAGGAGAAGGAGGAAAGAAGAAGAGGAAAAAAGGAAAGAAGGGAGGAAGGAAAGAAGGAAGGTGAAAAGTGGAAGGAAGAGGAAGAGAAGGAAGGATATGAAAGGGAAGAGGAAAAGAAAGAAGGAAGCAAGGGGAAGCGGAAAAAGGGAAGTATGTTTTGAAGGGAAATGGGGTATGCGGAACAAGACGACATTAATACTCTGCTTTTCTCTCTGGCTCAAATCAAGCTGTGTGTTATTATTCCACTTTTCTCTCAAAACATTAACATAATGACTATTATTATTATTATTATTATTATTATTATTATTATTATTATTGATGGACTTAAACTTTTCCTATGATGCCCTTCTCATCCCTTTCTCTTTTCTTTCTCTTCCAGGGTCCAAATGGTCTTATATTGGTAAGTAATTGCTATGGCTTATGATATTGAACTATTGTGCCTCTATTGTTGTTGTTGTTGTTGTTGTTGTTGTTGTTGTTGTTGTTGGGTCTGATGTGCCCCACTTCTCTAAGTACTGTAACATGTAAATCCTAGGTTTGCTTTAAAATGGAAGCATAGTGTTATCTATACTATAAGATTGGCATGTATTGGCCCCATTTCAATGGTTATAAGATCCTGGGAGTTGTAGTTTCCCAAGGGGCGGTGTGTGGGACTAATGGCGTCTTTTCCCCCTTGCCTTCCTTGGGCCCCGAGGTGCGGACGGGGAGAAGGGCTGGCCCAAGCGGTTCCCCTTCTGTGGAGGAGCCTTCCAGTCCCCCATCGACTTCCACAGCGACGTCCTGCAATACGACGCCACCCTCTCGCCCATTGAACTCCAGGGATACAACGTCTCCAACGAGGAGCTGTTCGTTCTGACCAACAACGGGCATTCCGGTAAGGCAAGATCGACATCCACACATCCATCCATCTATCCACCTATTGAGCTACCTGTCTACTCAACTATCCATCCATCTATGGACTTAACCATCTCTCCATCCATCCATCTATTGACCTATTGATCTATCCACGTGTCTACTCCACCATTCAACCATCCATGGATTTATTCATGTCTCCAACCATCCATTCTTTCATCCATCTATTGACCTATTGATCTATCCATCTGTCCATCTATGTGTCCATCCATCCATCCATCCACCCATCCATCCATCCATCCATCCATCCACTGATTCCTTCCTTCCTCCTTCCACACATCCATCTATCAATCTATTGACTTATTGATCTGTCCATCTGTCTACTCCACCATCCAACCATCCATGGATTTATTGATGTCTCCATCCATCCATCCATCCATCCATCCATGCATCCACTGATTCCTTCCTTCCTCCATCCACACATCCATCTATCAATCTATTGACTTATTGATCTATCCATCTGTCTATTCAACCATCCATCCATTCATGGACTTGTCCATCCATCCTTCTCTCCATTCATTCATCCATCCATCCACCCACACATCCATCTATTGACCTATTGATTACCCATCTGTCTACTCAATCATCCATCTGTCTATGGATTTATCCAAATCTTCATACATACATATAACAACACGTCCATCTATCCATCTATCTACCTATTGAGCTATCTGTCTACTCAACTATCCATCCATCTATGGACTTAACCATCTCTCCATCCATCCATCCTTTCATCCATCTATTGACCTATTGATCTATCCATGTGTCTACTCCACCATCCAACCATCCATGGATTTATTCATGTCTCCATCCATCCATTCTTTTATCCATCTATGATCTATCCATGTGTCTACTCCACCATCCAACCATCCATGGATTTATTCATGTCTCCATCCATCCATTCTTTTATCCATCTATGATCTATCCATGTGTCTACTCCACCATCCAACCATCCATGGATTTATTCATGTCTCCATCCATCCATTCTTTCATCCATCTATTGACCTATTGATCTATCCATGTGTCTACTCCACCATCCAACCATCCATGGATTTATTCATGTCTCCATCCATCCATTCTTTTATCCATCTATGATCTATCCATGTGTCTACTCCACCATCCAACCATCCATGGATTTATTCATGTCTCCATCCATCCATTCTTTCATCCATCTATTGACCTATTGATCTATCCATGTGTCTACTCCACCATCCAACCATCCATGGATTTATTCATTTCTCCATCCATCCATTCTTTCATCCATCTATTGACCTATTGATCTATCCATGTGTCTACTCCACCATCCAACCATCCATGGATTTATTCATTTCTCCATCCATCCATTCTTTCATCCATCTATTGACCTATTGATCTATCCATGTGTCTACTCCACCATCCAACCATCCATGGATTTATTCATTTCTCCATCCATCCATTCTTTCATCCATCTATTGACCTATTGATCTATCCATGTGTCTGCTCCACCATCCAACCATCCATGGATTTATTGATGTCTCTATCCATTCATCTATGTGTCCATCCATCCATCCATCCATCCATCCGTCTACTGATTCCTTCCTTCCTCCATCCACACATCCATCTATCAATCAATTGACTTATTGATCTATCCATCTGTCTATTCAACCATCCATCCATTCATGGACTTGTCCATCCATCCATTCACCTGTTCATCCCTCCATCCACACATCCACCTACGTATCAATCTGTCTACTGAACCATCTATGGACTTATCCATCTCTCTATCTCTCTATCTACCCATCCATCCATCCTTATAACCATCTATCCATTGGTCCATCTACCTATTCATCCCTCCCTCTATCCACACATCCATCGATCCATCTGTCCATCTATTAATCTATCCATTCGACTATTCAATCATCCATCTATTGGCCTATTTATCTGTTCATCCATCAATCTCCATCTGTCCACACATCCATCTATTGATCTATTATCTATCCATCTGTCTAATCAACCATACATCTATCTATGTATCAATCTGTCTACTCAACCATCTATGGACTTATCCATCTCTCTATCTATCCATGCATCCATATAAACATCTATCCCTCCCTCCATCCACACATCAGTTGATCCATCTGTCCACCTATTGATCTAACCAACTGTCGACTCAGTCATCTATCCCTCCATGGACTTATCCATCCTTCCATCCGTCTGTCTGTCTATCTATCTATCTATCTATCTATCTATCTATCTATCTATCTATCCATCCATTCATCCATGCATCCACTGACCCATTGCTCCCACACATCCACCTATCCATCTATTGACCTATTGATCTATCTGTCTTACTAAACCATCCATCAATCCATGGACTTATCTATCTATCTATCTATCTATCTATCTATCTATCATCTATCTATCTATCTATCCATCCATCCATCCATCCATCCATCCACCGATTTATCACTCCCTCCGTCCACAAATCCATCTATCCATCTATTGACTTATTAATCTGTCTATCTGTCTACTCAACCATCCATCTATCCATAGATTTATCCATCTCTCTATCTATCCATCCTTCCATCTACCAATTCATCGCTCCCTCCATCCACACATCCACCTATCCATCTATTGACCTATTGTTCTGTCTATCTGTCTACTCAACCATCCATCTATCCATAGACTTATCCATCTCTCTATTATCTATCTATCTATCTATCTATCTATCTATCTATCTATCTATCCACAGATTTATCGTTCCCTCCGTCCACACATCCATCTATCCATCTATTGACCTAATAATCTATCTATCTGTCTACTCAACCATCCATCTATCCATAGACATCCATCTCTCTATCTATCCATCCATCCACCCATCCATCCTTCCATCTACCAATTCATCGCTCCCTCCATCCACATAACCATCTATTGACCTATTCATCTATCTGTCTGTCTACTCAACCAACTGTCCATCCATGGACTTATCCATCTCTCCACCCACCCATCTAACCTCCCACAACTTCTCAGGAAAACACAGAGCAAGGAAAGAAACCTGTATATCAGAACATACGTACAATTAGTAAACAACAGGATTATAGACAAACAAATTACTAGAGGAGGCTTGAAGAAGGTTGTAATTTCCAACAAGGAATACAAAGTTTTCCAGCACTCTCGGTCAGAGAACCTCAAGCTTAATAATACTAATGCAACGACTAATAATAATAATAATAATAACTCTCAATATATGCAAAGAATAGGGGGAGGTTTGCTTGCAGGACTCTTGACCTTCTGCAGCTGCAAAGGGCCTTTCTTGTTGAGTCCTTGTCATGCATGGAGACCAAGCTCAATTCCAAGTGTTTACACATTGTCTCTTCTTTTTGCAGTGAAAATGAGCCTTTCACCCTCGATGCTCATCCGGAGCCTCCCTTCGCAATACACTGCAGCTCAGCTCCATTTACATTGGGGTAACCGGAATAAACAAGAAGGGTCAGAGCACACTATCGGGGGGAAGCACTTTGCCGCCGAAGTACGTTTTCCATGCACTTGGATTTTTATAGAAAATACAGAGTTGTGAGTTTCAAAATTCCCGCTCCCCCCTCCCGCCCAGCTTGAAGGGGATTGGCTGACGCGCAAACAGCTGGGAGGAGGCTTGGCCGTCCCCCATGCATCAGGGCCAATCACAGGGCTTTCGCGATGCGCCAGAACCAATCAGGAGGCTCCTGCTGCCTCGGCGCTCCAGCGAATCAGAAGGGAGGGAGGCGGGATGAAGGGAGACAATGCATTCTGGAGTGGATTATGGAGTTTTAATATCCTTAGGCTTATCGAGTCTTGCATTCCTTGCATAGGATTGCTGTGTGCCTTGAAGGCCAATAATAATTAATGCAAATTTAATGCATAATCCTAAGGTTTTGCAAAGAGATTTCCAAGTGGCTTTTATGCTTGCAAGTTGGTTATTGGTGTATTGATTTGCACTCTTTTGTGCTTTCCATACATAGCTCCACATCGTGCATTATAACTCTGACCGATACCCCGATTTGCAAGCGGCGATGGATAAATCCGACGGTCTGGCCGTCCTGGCTGTTTTGCTCGAGGTGAGAGGCTCAATTCCCTATGAACTGACACCTGTAAATAGCAGTAGACTCCATTGACACGCAGTCCTCCTCCAAATGGAGCAAACGTGTTTGGGTTTTGGGTCGTTGTAGATTTTTCGGGCTGTATGGCCGTGTTCTAGAAGCATTCTCTCCTGACATTTCGCCTGCATCTATGGCAGGCATCCTCAGAGGTTATGAGGTCTGGTGGAAACTAGGCAAGTAGCAAGGAAATCAGCAATTAGAAATGCCTAATAATAATAATAATAATAATAATAATAATCCCAGATGACAGCAGGATTGAAGAGAAACAACTGGAAAAGCTGACACGATATGAGGATTTAAAGATTGAACTGCAAAGACTCTGGCACAAACCATTCAAGGGGGTCCCAGTGGTGATCAGCACACTGGGTGCAGTGCCTAAAGACCTTGGCCTGCACTTAAACACAATCGGCGCTGACAAAACTACCATCTCCCAGCTGCAAAAGGCCACCTTACTGGGATCTGCACGCATTATTCGCCAATACATCACACAGTCCTAGACGCTTGGGAAGAGTTCGACTTGTGATTTTGTGATACGAAATCCAGCATAGAGATCTCGTTTGCTGTGACATACTGTGCTTTTGTGTCATAATTGCATCAATAGGAGCCTAGTGTCTAGATTGAGGGAAGCCCTGCTCCCCATGCTCTATTCTGCTTTGGTTAGACCACACCTGGAATATTGTGTCCAATTCTGGGCACCACAATTCAAGAGAGATATTGACAAGCTGGAATGTATCCAGAGGAGGGCAACTCAAATGATCAAGGGTCTGGAGAACAAGCCCTATGAGGACCGGCTTAAGGAGCTTCTTCTCTGAAGAAGAGAAGGCTGAGAGGTGATATGATAGCCATGTATAAATATGTGAGAGGAAGCCACAGGGAGGAGGGAACAAGCTTGTTTACTGCTTCCCTGGAGACTAGGACGCAAGGGAACAATGGCTTCAAACTACAAGTGAAATGGCAGGGAGAAGGTTTGAGGAAAAGAGACAAAGAGAGATCCTGAGACTTGAAAAGCACGGCCTTTATTCTCGGCTGGTGCCAACCGGATATGGACCCTCCTGGTAATCCAGGAAAGAAGGGTACAGAACAAAGGAAAGGCTTGGTTTATATACCTTTTGAAATAATTATTCATGCATCATATAGACATCACAATGTGCGTCACAAAATTCTACTTTTACATTGACTTCAATAGCATATTTTCAATCTCAACACCTTGTCAATCTTCATTAGTGTTCTATCTAAAGAGTGGCTATTAATGAACACCAGCGGCAGAATGTCTACCGGACCTGATAGCGAGTTTCTCTAACTCTAGCCTAAGATAAGGTCTTCCTGAAGCCTCTTAATGGACACTTCATTAGTCAAGCCTACAATAAGATGCCTGGTACCGTACCTTATCGGCCTCTTGAAATGCCAGGCCTCAAGACATTCCTTTCCTAGATGCTGGCGTTTCTAATTTTGCAGCTTTTAAGAAGCCAAGTGAATTGAAGGAAATGCATACATTTCTCTTTGTGAACTATATATTTTCTAATATGGTTACATCAAATATATTTTCCAATGTGTGTATTATGTATTTTCATCAAGCCTTCATCACAAGAAAGGAGATTCCATCTGAACATGAGGAAGAACTTCCTGACTGTGAGAGCTGTTCAGCAGTGGAACTCTCTGCCCCGGAGTGTGGTGGAGGCTCCTTCTTTGGAAGCTTTTAAAAAGAGGCTGGATGGCCATCTGTCAGGGGTGATTTGAATGCAATATTCCTGCTTCTTGGTAGGGAGTTGGACTGGATGGCCCATGAGGTCATCCTGGTGCTTTCCTGCATGCAGTCAGAAGGAGGTTGGACTAGATGTCCCATGTGGTTGCTTCCAACACTATGATTCTTTGACTCAGCTGCACAGTCCGGCTCATCCAGCTTCTTTCGCAGATTGGTCCCGGCTGCGGATGAGGCCCCCTCCTCACCCTTGGAGGAGAAGCCGCTGCTGCGATCACCCTTGGACCCTAAAGAGGAGGAAGAGGAGGAGACATGCACAAGAAGTGGAAAAAGGGAGAAATCACCAAAGAAGAATTCAAACAAATAGCCAACACCTGTAGGGAAAAGGTCCGCAAGGGTAAAGCACAAAACGATTAGGACGTGGAACAATGGCTTCAAACTACAAGAAACATGAGGAAGTACTTCCTGACTGTGAGAGCCGTTTAGCAGTGGAACTCTCTGCCCTGGAGTGTGGTGGAGGCTCCTTCTTTGGAAGCTTTGAAACAGAGGCTGGATGGCCATCTGTCAGGGGTGATTTGAATGCAATATTCCTGCTTCTTGGCAGAATGGGGTTGGACTGGACGGCCCATGAGTCTGTGATTCTATTCTATGATTAATAATAATAATAATAATAATAATAATAATAATAATAAGAAAAGTGTGTTATTTTGAAGAAGAAAAAACCTTTGCAAGATATCCAGAAATCCATCAAAACCTTTCCCTGCAAAGACACAGAGAAGCCCTGGTTGAGGTTTGGCCCCTGATGATGAGGACACGTCATTAAGTGTTTTGCTCGCTTAATGTGCCGTAATTATTTGTGATGAGCAGGCTATTGAAAAACAAGACGGAGAGTAATGATAGGGCACCTTCCAATGGGGAATTATCTCTGGCCACAAAATTGCGGGACGATTATTTCAGTGAAGGTCTAAACCCCAAAAGAGAAGGAAGGTCAGGCCAAAACATTGCGGCTTTCCTCCCAAATGTAAAGTCTCATGCCATTGTTGTGTGTCTCTTGTGTTGCAGATCGGCTCCTTCAATCCCTCCTACGATCAGATCTTCCATCACGTCCAGAATGTGAAATACAAAGGTAAGGCGCTGCAAAGGGTCCGAAACCCACCTTTGCTCGTTTCAATGCAAAACAGATCTCCAATGCAAGGGAAACTTTTGGCATCTGCAAAACCTGAATTTGCAATTGCAGAAGAGCGGCATCCCAGTGTTCCTTTCTCTCTCCATTGGGGTGGAATTTGCAGAAAGCAAGGAAAGGAGAGGGAGAGAGTGAAGGAGAGAAAGAGGGAGGCTAAGAGAAGGGGAAAAGGGGAAAGGAAGGGAGAAGAAAGGAAGGCCGGGAGGGAGGGAGGGGAAAGAGGGAAGGGAGAAGGAAAGGAAGGAAGAGGAAAAGGGGAAGGAAAGAAAGGAGAAAAGAGGAAGGGAGGAGGGAGGAAGGAAAGGAAAGAAGGGAGGAAGGGGAGAGAGGAAGGAAAGGAAGGAAGGAAGGAAGGAAGGAAGGAAGGAGGAAGGAAGGAAGGAAGGAAGGAAGGAAGGAAGGAAGGAAGGAAGGAAGGAAGGGAAAGGAAAGGAAAGGAAGGAGAAAAAGGCAGGAAGGAGAGAAGGAAGGGAGAAAAGGAAGGAAGGAAGAAGGAAGGATGGAGAGGAAAGAAGGGGAGGAAGGAAGGAAGGAAAGGAAGGAGAGGAAGAAAGGAGAGAAGGGAGAAAAGGAAGGAAGGAAGGAGAGAAGGAAGGAAGACAGGAAGAAAGGAGGGAGAGAAGGAAGACAGGAAGGAAGAAGGGAAAGAGGAAGGAGAAGGAAGAAGAAGGGAGAGAGGAAGGAAGGAAGGAAGGGGAAAAGGGGAAGGGAAGGGAGAAGAAAGGAAGGGTGGGGGGAGGACGGGGAAAAGGGGAGAAGAAAGGAAGGAAGGAAGAGGAAAAGGGGAAGGGAAGGGAGAAGAAAGGAAGGGAGGGAGGGAAGGAACGAAGGGGAAAGGGGGAAGGGAGAAGAAAGGGAGGGAGGGAGGGAGGGAGGAAGTAAGGAAGGGGAAAAGGGGAAGGGAAGGGAGAAGAAAAGGAGGGAGGGAGAGGAGAAGGGGAAGGGAAGGGCAGAGGAGGGCAGGGCAGTGACAGAAGCCGAGGCAAAGTGGGGCCCGGAGTGGGCGGCTGCCGGAGAAGAAGGAAGGAAGAGGAGAGGAAGGAACGAAGGGGAAAGGGGGAAGGGAGAAGAAAGGGAGGGAGGAATGAAGAAAGTAAGGAAGGGGAAAAGGGGAAGGGAAGGGAGAAGAAAGGGACGGAGGGAGGGAGGAAGGAAGGGGAAAAGGGGAAAGGAAGGGAGAAGGAAGGAAGGAAGGAAGGATTCCCAGAGGCTTCTAGTTTCCAAGTACGGTTAGTGAGATACTAACAGGTTCCAGGTTTTTATAGTGTTGCTTTTGGAATTTTGATCTAGTTCAGAGATATTCCTGACTGCTGAATTTTACTTTGGCTTTTTGACTTTGCATTTTCCTCTATTTTGTAACAATTTTTTCATCAATAAAAAGGATTGTTTTTCCCACAGTCAAGTGTGGTGGATTTAATCTTATGGTCTTGTTTCCTGATCTGGGTTGCAACAATTAGATGGCCATCCTTCTCCTGCTTAATAATAATAATGTACAAAATCCGATCCCTCTTGACATATGGCCATCCAGCCCCTGCATAATAATGATGATGATGATAATTTCTCCTACTTCCATTCTTCCTCCAGACCAGGAGACGTTCATCCCCGGCTTCAATGTCCGAGCTCTGCTTCCAGACCAACTGGATGAGTATTTCCGCTACGAAGGGTCGCTGACCACCCCACCTTGCTTCCCAAGCGTCCTCTGGACTGTCTTCCGGAAGCCGGTCCAAGTCTCGGAGGAACAGGTCAGCAGCCACAGACGCATGTATTGCATTACAGAGTAATAATAATAATAATAATTACACAGTAAAATAATATAAGAAATGAATATACGAAATAATGAAATATGTATATTGACACTATTCATACTTAAAATAAATATTATATTTAAGTATAAAAATAAACCCCAGTTTACATCCTCAGCTGGATGGACGCAGTGACTGCTAGCGCAACCATTGCAAGATGCAGAGGATGTATTGCATTACAAAATAATAATAATAATAAATAAATAAACATAAATATATAGTATTATTATACATTATTATTAAGTATAAAAATAAGCCCGAGTTCAGATGCATTGACCATTAACACATCTGTTGCAAGACATGATGGACTTATTGCATTACATAATAATAATAATAATAATAATAATAATAATAATAATAATATACAGTATAATTACGTATAAAAATAAGCTCCAGTTCAGATCCTCAGCTGGATGGACACAGTGACAGAACAGGGAAATCTTTGGTGTACCGTCCACCCCGCTACTCAACAGTGTCCCTGCGTGAGCTAGCCGGAGTGGTCCCAGGTCTGGTGTTGGAGTCCCAATGTCTAGTTGTGCTAGGGGAGTTCAACATCCATGCCAAGACCGCCCTGTCCGGAGCTGCTCAGGACTTCATGGCCGCCATGACAACCATGGGTCTGTCCCAAATGGTATCTGGCCCCACTCATAGTGCTGGACACACATTTATTATTGTTTCCATTCGATGTTTGATGTTTTGTCTTATGTCTGTTATAACAGCCTGTGCTTTTTATTTAATTTTAGTTTGTTAAATTATAATTTGTGTTTATATGTTGGGTTGTTTAAATTTTGTTAGTATGGATGTGTTGTTGTATTCGGGCATTGAAAATGTTTGCCCTTTATGTTTGGAATCCGCTCTGAATCCCTTTAGGGTGAGAAAGCGGAATACAAATAAAGTTTATTATTGTTATTGTTGTTGTTGTTGTTGTTATTATTATTATTATTAACTAGCTTGGGGACCCGGCGCTGCCCGGGTTATTTGAGAAAGGAATTGTGTATCAAGGTTGGTCTTTATCAGTTATTTATATGGCTCGCAGTGGTCTCAGGAAGTTAGTGAAGGTACTGTGAGTCCCATCATCTGTGGTCCATCCTACTCCAAACTGCTCCAGGATGGAGAGTGGGTCATGGGGGCTCTGTGTGCCAAGTTTGGTCTTGATCAGTCATTAGATGTTGCAGAGGTCTTGGGAAGTGAGTGGAGGTACTTGAAGTCCCATCATCCATAGTCTGTACTCCCCCAAACCTCACCAGAATGTTGAGTTGGCCATGGGGGCTCTTTGTTCCAAGTTTGGTCTTTATTGGTTTTTGAATGAGTGTCGCTATGGTTTCAGGAAGTGAGTGAACGTACTGCAAGTCCCATCATCCATCGTCCATCCTTCAAACAGCACCGGGATGTAGGGTGGGTCATGGGGGCTGTGTGTGCCAAGTTTGGTCTTGATCGGTCATTAGATGAGGGTTGCAGCAATCTTGGGAAGGGAGTGGAGGTACTTGAAGTCCCATCATCCATGGTCTGTCGTCCTCCAAACTGCTCCAGGATGTAGAGTGGGTCATTGAAGCTCCATGTGCCTAGTTTAGTCTTGATGAGTCATTGGCGTGGGTCTCAGTGGTCTCAGGAAGTGAGTGAAGTGACTGCAAGTCCCATCATCCATTGTCAAATTCTTCCAAACCGCACCAGGATATAAAGTGAGTTATGCGGACTCTCTGTGTAAATTGTGGTCCTGATCCATCATTGTTGGCAGTTATAATGGTCTTAGGAAGGGAGTGCAGGTATTGCAAGTCCCATTGTCCATGGTGCATCCTCCTTCAAACTGCACCTGGATGTAGAGTGCGTCATGGAGACTCAGTGTGCCAAGTTTGGTATTTTTGGTAATTGGATGAGGGTTGCAGTGGTCTGAAGAATTGAGCAATGGTACTGCAAGTCCCATAATCCACGGTCCATCCCCGGCCAAACCACACCAGGACGTAAAGTGGGTCATGAGAGGTCTCTGTGCGAAGTTTGGTCCTGATCAGTCATTGGATGAGGTTAACAGCGGTCTCAGAATGTGAGTGGTGGTACTGCAAGTCCCATCGTCCATGGTTCATCGTCCTCCAAACTGCAGTAGGATGTAGAGTGGGTGATGGGGGCTCTGTGTGCCAGTTTCGGTCTGTATTGGGAGTGTTCTGACCCCGCCCCCTTTGGCCTTTTCCTTTTCTGTCATCTCGGAATCTTGGATTTGAGGCTGGCCAATCAGAGACCATATGCAAATTTCCTTCTGTCATGCCCCGTTTCTGCCATGAGCCCTCTTCTCCACCAGGGGCTCCTATTGAAGGTGGCCAATCAGAGACCATATGCAAATAGCACCGCAGCGGCAGCCAATCAGAACGCTGCCACATACTCCTTCCTCTGTCCGATACAAACATTCTCTTTTATTATATATATAGATGTCCATACTTCTCATTACTATTATTATTTTTACATGACTAACTTATGTATATTATTTATAACATATTTACATTGTTAGTGTTATTTATTATTATTATTATTATTATTATTATTATTATTATTATTTAGACCCTGCTTTATCTCCCCCAAAGCAGCTATAATTATGTTGTTATTATTTACATACATATTACTATTTTTATTTTACATGGATAAGTTATCTATATTATTTATAACATATTTAGATTATTATTTATATTAATTATATTATCATTTATATATTTCTTATTATTACATTAATAAATGTACGGATTTTATTATTATTATTATTCTTTAGATGAATAAATGTACAGATTTTTGTACTTGAATAAATGGAAATTTCTGTACATGAAAACAATAATAAGACATCTGTTTCTAAACCGTTTGGAGCAAACAATTAATATAAAACCCGGTTAGGAAAATACGGTAGACATAGATTAACACAATATTGGGAAAACTTTCATTTAGACTTATTCTGAACATCCAATGATAGGTTCGCCTTCAAGTCACCCTAAATCGGAAGCAACTTAAAGACACACAACAACAACAACAACAACAACAACAAGAATATTGCTTTACTGACAATGGAAATGATGCGCAAACATTGTGTCTTTGCAGCTCTTGGCCCTGGAAACGGCCCTATTTTGCACGCAGTCTGATGACCCTTCACCCCTTGAAATGGTGAACAATTTCCGGAAAATACAAGAATTCGACGAAAGGCTGGTTTCGGTCTCCTTCCGCCAAGGTAAGTGAGATATAATAGAATAAAATATATCCCTTTCAAAAATCATCACATTCTTTGCATTTTTACCATCCTGCAAATAAACAAATAAATGCATGGGAGCATTATCACCCTGCAAATAAATAAATGCATTGCATCATTACAATCCTACAAACAAATAAATGCATTGCAACTTTACCATCTTGCAAATAAATAAATGCATTGCAGTGTTGCCATCATGCAAATAAATAAATGCATTACAACTTTACAATCTTGCAAGTAAATAAATGCATTGCAATTTTACCATCTTGCAAATAAATAAATGCATTGCAGTGTTAGCATCTTGCAAACAAATAAATGCATTACACCATTAACAGTTTGCAAATAAATAAATGCATTGCAACTTTACGATCCTGCAAATCATAAATAAATGCATTGCAGCGTTACTACCTTGCAAACAAATAAAGGCATTGCAATTTTACCATCCTGCAAATAAACAAATAAATGCATTGCAGCGTTACCATCATGCAAATAAATAAATGCATTACAACTTTACCATCCTGCAAATAAATAAATGCATTGCAGTGTTACCATCTTGCAAATAAATAAATGCATTGCAGTGTTACCATCTTGCAAATAAATAAGTGCATTACACCATTAACAGCCTGCAAATAAATAAATGCACTGCAACTTTACGATCCTGCAAATAATAAATAAATGCATTACAACTTTACCATCCTGCAAATAAGTAAATGCATTACAACTTTACAATCTTGCAAGTAAATGAATGCATTGCAACTTTACTATCTTGAAAATAAATAAATGCATTGCAGTGTTACCATCTTGCAAACAAATAAATGCATTACACCATTAACAGCCTGCAAATAAATAAATGCATTGCAACTTTACGATCCTGCAAATAATAAATAAATTCATTGCAGCATTACTACATTGCAAACAAATAAAGGCATTGCAATTTTACCATCCTGCAAATAAACAAATAAATGCATTGCAGCGTTACCATCGTGCAAATAAATAAATGCATTACAACTTTACCATCCTGCAAATAAATAAATGCATTGCAACTTTACTATCTTGCAAATAAATAAGTGCATTGCAGTGTTACCATCTTGCAAATAAATAAGTGCATTGCAATGTTACCATCTTGCAAACAAATAAATGCATTATACCATTAACAGCCTGCAAACAAATAAATGCATTGCAACTTTACCATCTTGCAAATAAATAAATGCACTGCAGTGTTATCATCTTGCAAACAAATAAATGCATTACACCATTAACAGCTTGCAAATAAATAAATGCATTGCAAATTTATGATTGTGCAAATAATAAATAAATGCATTGCAGCGTTACCACCTTGCAAACAATTAAATGCATTGCAGCATTACCATCATGCAAATAAATAAATGCATTACAGCTTTACCATCCTGCAAATAAATAAATGCATTACAACTTTACCATCCTGCAAATAAATAAATGCATTGCAACTTTACTATCTTGCAAATAAATAAGTGCATTGCAGTGTTACCATCTTGCAAACAAATAAATGCATCACACCATTAACAGCCTGCAAATAAATAAATGCATTGCAACTTTACGATCCTGCAAATAATAAATAAATGCATTGCAGTATTGGTACCTTGCAAACAAATAAAGGCATTGCAATTTTACCATCTTGCAAATAAACAAATAAATGCATTGCAGTGTTACCATCATGCAAATAAATAAATGCATTACAACTTTACCATCCTGCAAATAAATGCATTACAACTTTACAATCTTGCAAGTAAATAAATGCATCACAACTTTACCATCTTGCAAATAAATAAATGCATTGCAGCGTTACCATCTTGCAAACAAATAAATGCATTACACCATTAACAGCCTGCAAATAAATGAATGCATTGCAATTTTACAATCCTGCAAATAATAAATAAATACATTGCAGCATTACTACCTTGCAAACAAATAAAGGCATTGCAATTTTACCATCCTGCAAATAAACAAATAAATGCATTGCAGCGTTACCATCGTGCAAATAAATAAATGCATTACAACTTTACCATCCTGCAAATAAATGCATTACAACTTTACAATCTTGCAAGGAAATGAATGCATTGCAACTTTACTATCTTGAAAATAAATAAATGCATTGCAGTGTTACCAGCTTGCAAACAAATAAATGCATTACACCATTAACAGTCTGCAAATAAATAAATTCATTGCAACTTTACAATCCTGCAAATAATAAATAAATTCATTGCAGCATTACTACCTTGCAAACAAATAAAGGCATTGCAATTTTACTATCTTGCAAATAAACAAATAAATGCATTGCAGCGTTACCATCGTGCAAATAAATAAATGCATTACAACTTTATCATCGTGCAAATAAATAAATGCATTGCAACTTTACCATCCTGCAAATAAATAAATGCATTACAACTTTACCATCCTGCAAATAAATAAATGCATTGCAACTTTACTATCTTGCAAATAAATAAATGCATTGCAACTTTACCATCTTGCAAATAAATAAATGCATTGCAGTGTTATCATCTTGCAAACAAATAAATGCATTACACCATTAACACCCTGCAAATAAATAAATGCATTGCAAATTTATGATCCTGCAAATAATAAATAAATGCATTGCAGCGTTACCAACACGGAAATAAATAAATGCATTGCAGTGTTGCCACCTTGCAAACAAATAAACGCATTGCAGCATTACCATCATGCAAATAAATAAATGCATTGCAGTGTTGCTACTTTGCAAACAAATAAAGGCATTGCAATTTTACCATCCTGCAAATAAACAAATAAATGCATTGCAGTGTTACCATCATGCAAATAAATAAATGCATTACAAATTTATCATCCTGCAAATAAATGCATTACAACTTTACAATCTTGCAAGTAAATAAATGCATTGCAACTTTATAACCTTGCAAGTAAATAAATGCATTGCAACTTTACAATCTTGCAAGTAAATAAATGCATTGCAACTTTACAATCTTGCAAGTAAATAAACGCATTGCAACTTTACAATCTTGCAAGTAAATAAACGCATTGCAACTTTACAATCTTGCAAGTAAATAAATGCATTGCAACTTCACAACCTTGCAAGTAAATAAATGCATTGCAGTTTTACTCTCCTGCAAAAAAAACTTGCATTGCAACTCTACCATCTTGCAAATAAATACATGAATTACAACTTTATCATCCTGCAAATAAATGCATTGCAGCTTTACCACCTTGCAAGTAAATGTGCTGCAGCCTTACCACCTTGCAAAAAAATAAATAAATGTGCCGCAGCTTTGCCAGCCTGTAAATTAAAAAAATGCAATGCAATTTTACCATCCTGCAAATAAATACATTACAGCGATACCATCCTGCAAATAAATAAATGCATTACAACTTTACCATCTTGCAAATAAATAAATCAATCAATAAATGCATAGCAATCTTTCGCTAAAAAAACAACCAAAATACTTAGGCACTTTGCACAAAACAAGAGGATGCAATAGTAGAGAAATGTCACAAAACTTTGGACATTGGAAAACATGGACATTCCTAGAGAAAATAATCTGTATATCTGCTTCCCAAGTCTTACCTGGAGTTCAATTAATTAATAACCGACTAATGAATATTAAAAATGCATTTGTAACCCGAAAGAACAGCTCTCTGGGCATCTCTGGGTCTTCCAGCTAACGTTGACCATAGAATAACCCTTTGCCTTCCAGGGAGACCCTTTTTGGGGCATTTTGGAGGATCCGACGAAGCACTTCTTCTCCTTCCGGAAATAGAGTTTGACGCGTAAAATGGAAGGAAAGGCCCATGGCGATGCATGGGAGCAAAAATTAGCCATCTTGTTAGCAGACATGCATAGAAACACATTGGGTTTATGGGGCTCTTTTGGGGAGGAGAACCATGTCTCATACAAATAATAAATATTATTAGTAGTGAAAGGGTCTTTGAGCGAAATTTGCAAATACTAAGTAAGGGGCTTAGAATGAAATTAACAGCAAAAAGGGAGACATACCCTTTTTCTGACTTAAAAAGAGCAATATGGAAGAAAATGTTTTTAAGCACAAGAAGGTACTTTCTTACACAGGATGCTTGTGGTAAACTTCAAAGGTTGTTTTTTTGAAGCGCAGAGGCCGCATGTACAAGAAGGTACTTTCCATCAAAAGGTCAAGAGAGGGGGCCGGAAAGAGGGTACTTTCCATGACAAAAAATGTTCTTGTTTACTTGAGGTTATATATTTGGTGGTCAAAAGCCAAGGGGGACGGCAGTCACTTGAAGGGTAGCATCTGTGCATGCTACCCGGCTGTCTGTCTTTTTCATGAAGAAACTAAAATAAACCTTGTTTTTTGATCTTTTTTGGGACTGCCTCCTTCCTTTTGTGCTCCCGCGACGTGGACCTAAAAAGACCCAATTTAGGGTTTCTAACAGTAGTAGTTATTGTATTATTATTAATGGTATTATTACAAATAATACAAATAAAGGGAGATACATGCACAAACCACTAGGCGCAGTACTATTAGTAGTATTGCAAGTAATAGGTCATGGAAAGTACTCTCTTTCCAGCCCCTCTCCCTTGACCTTTTGATAGAAAGTACCTTCTTGTACCTGCAGACTCTGCGCTTAACCACAACCTTTGGCTTAACCACAACACAACTACTTCCTATGTAGGCTTGAACTTTGTATGGCCTCTACATGTCACATCTTGTTTCTTAAAGACATTTTCTTCCATGTTGCTCCTTATATGCCCTTTGTCTGTAGAAAAGGAGCAACACGGAAGAAAATGTTTTTAAGAAACAAGATGTGACATGTAGAGGTCATACAAAGTTCAAGCCTACATAGGCAGTAGTTGTGTTGTGGTTAAGTTCAAAGGTTGTGGTTAAGCGCAGAGTCTGCAGGTACAAGAAGGTGCTTTCCATTAAAAGGTCAAGGGAGGGGGGCTGGAAAGAAAGTACTTTCCATGACCTATTACTTGA